AAAATGGAAAGGAGATATCGAAAAGTAAATTTACCATGTCAAGGACGTGAAATAGGGATTTAATTCCATCTTCATCCATGGAGTGAATATGATTCTCCACCCATTTCCCCAAAATTAAGTCCAGCTCCAGGTAACCTCTTTGCTTGCTCCTATACAATAGCCTACAATTTCGGGTAGACAATAAATGGTTCATACTCAAAAACCATCGCTAAAAGATGCTAATAACTAATTTTAACCCTAACTTCCACTGAGTTGTTAAAATTGCAAACCTGTTAAATAGGCGCCTTTTGCTTTCTTCATTAGAAAGATCAATATCGAAAGATTGGGTGCTCAAATTTGAAGAACAAAAATGCGAAATCGAACCCAATATAGGCCTAGATAAATCCAGTAAATTATGATCAATAACAGCAGAAATAACAAAAATATACAATTTTTTTTTTTTTTTTGGTTGATTGTGCATTGAAGTAAAATTCTTGACCTGTTAAGAGAGTCGGATGTGGCAGCCGACGATCGATTCGAGAAGCTAAGAAGCCGAGGAACGGCTGTGAAAATTGCCCTTCGCAAACTGGCCATTTTTGAGGGTTTTGCTGGTGTTCGTTTGGGTGGGGCGTGTTGTTTAAATGAGAAGAAAGGTTTGAATTTTCCCTGCGATTAGTGAATGAGGGGCGTCGCGGCGTGGCACTCCCGCAACCACTATGGGTACAAGGCAAAACAAAAGGAGTAGAACTTCAGGGCAATTAAACACATAAATGACCTTTTTTTTTTTTTTAAATTATTTGAACACTTTTTAGTAGGAAGTACGTGCATTTATATTTTTGAATTAATAATACTATTTTGAAAATAGTTGAGGTAATTGATATTTTTAAAGGAAAAATTAAAATTATTATATAGTACTATTCATTAACAATAAAAATAAAAATGATAGCCACCATAGATAGGAACACCTTTGATTATCCTCCTATGTTGATAGATTTCATTGAGAAATTATTTCAAGTAAAAAATTTAAAACAAAGTAATTTCTATAATATAATCCAATATTGATCGTGAAAAAAAATCTGACTCCATCATAATGAACCGACTTCATAAACCACTCTTTGTAACAAATATAAATTATAAATAACACAATTATTAGACTTTATAAATAAATTGAGACTTAACTTGGTTTACTAAAAAATTTACATGGGGTGATTATTAGATAAAACTTCGACATAAATAAATTGATGGCATTGCATATAATTTGGATTTTCATTTTAATGTGCGTTAAAATCAATAGGAACGGATGAGATGTACACTAAATTACAAAAATACTCCTATCTCTATCCATTTATGACTAATTAGATAATTTTACCATAATTTAAATTTTAAAAATAATATAAATCTCAATAAACTTGGCGGGTTGGGGTTGGCCTAATTATTGATATTTTGAATTGATTACAAGATAATGATAATAATAAAATAAGCAAAAACAAAATAAAAACACTAAGATTTATGTGAAAATTTATGACGGGAAAAAAATCACAGACAAAAGAGGAGAAATCGACTATAATTAATAGTAATTGTATTTACAACAAAATCTCAATACTCTCAATTAAGATCTAAAACTCTCAAGATATTTTATGAATGTTCTGAGAACAATATAAGTCGTGACTTATATACATAAAACCCTAGAAGTTAAGTTGTAAATGAATAGAGGTAAGCATGATATGCAAGTTTTTGTAGAAAATATATAGACTTCGCTCGAGCGACAGACTAGCAAAAATGTAAAAACTTTTCTTTCAGGTCCATATTTTTTATTTCTTCAAGATCACTTCAATTATGACTCCAATATCCATTAAAATTTGAATCACACTACAACAACCAGCAAATAAGAACCAACATTTTCTTTCAACCAAGAACCAACATTTTCTATGTCAAATATGATAATCACAAATCAGACAGCACCTCCTATTAAGGATCATTTTCTACAGTTTATTCTATATAGATATCTCCAAGTAAAATTAGGATAACCTCCAGATAAAAAATATCATTCCCATCACTTTACTTTTATCATTGCATGAGAAAATTACATTTTATATAGTACATAACCTGCCCTATTTGCACAATTATCAGTCATACGCATCGATGAAGAAAATCAATGCCTTCTTTGATAAGAAATTAACATCAGTAAATAATTATCTAACAATATATGTACAACAATTTATCAAATCAACTTAAAAAAAAAAAAAAAAATGAGAAAAGAAAACATTAAGCCCTTGTTTGAGCCTCATTCTTTAGAAAAAAAAAATGTATTTTTCAACAGTATTTTAATATCATTTCAATCACACATTTTTCAATAAAATAATATTACAACAATTTTTAGACTTTATAAATAAATTGAGACTTAACTTGGTTTACTAAAAAATTTACATGGGGTGATTATTAGATAAAACTTCGACATAAATAAATTGATGGCATTGCATATAATTTGGATTTTCATTTTAATGTGCGTTAAAATCAATAGGAACGGATGAGATGTACACTAAATTACAAAAATACTCCTATCTCTATCCATTTATGACTAATTAGATAATTTTACCATAATTTAAATTTTAAAAATAATATAAATCTCAATAAACTTGGCGGGTTGGGGTTGGCCTAATTATTGATATTTTGAATTGATTACAAGATAATGATAATAATAAAATAAGCAAAAACAAAATAAAAACACTAAGATTTATGTGAAAATTTATGACGGGAAAAAAATCACAGACAAAAGAGGAGAAATCGACTATAATTAATAGTAATTGTATTTACAACAAAATCTCAATACTCTCAATTAAAATCTAAAACTCTCAAGATATTTTATGAATGTTCCGAGAACAATATAAGTCGTGACTTATATACATAAAACCCTAGAAGTTAAGTTGTAAATGAATAGAGGTAAGCATGATATGCAAGTTTTTGTAGAAAATATATAGACTTCGCTCGAGCGACAGACTAGCAAAAATGTAAAAACTTTTCTTTCAGGTCCATATTTTTTATTTCTTCAAGATCACTTCAACTATGACTCCAATATCCATTAAAATTTGAATCACACTACAACAACCAGCAAATAAGAACCAACATTTTCTTTCAACCAAGAACCAACATTTTCTATGTCAAATATGATAATCACAAATCAGACAGCACCTCCTATTAAGGATCATTTTCTACAGTTTATTCTATATAGATATCTCCAAGTAAAATTAGGATAACCTCCAGATAAAAAATATCATTCCCATCACTTTACTTTTATCATTGCATGAGAAAATTACATTTTATATAGTACATAACCTGCCCTATTTGCACAATTATCAGTCATACGCATCGATGAAGAAAATCAATGCCTTCTTTGATAAGAAATTAACATCAGTAAATAATTATCTAACAATATATGTACAACAATTTATCAAATCAACTTAAAAAAAAAAAAAAAAAATGAGCAAAGAAACCATTAAGCCCTTGTTTGAGCCTCATTCTTTAGAAAAAAAAAATGTATTTTTCAACAGTATTTTAATATCATTTCAATCACACATTTTTCAATAAAATAATATTACAAGTAAATTCAAAACTTTTCCCTATCTTTTAACTACACATTTTTCATCAATATATTATTCAAAAATTCATTCTTTTCCCCCAAAATGGGGCTCAAACAAGGGCTAAATAATTTATTTCTGTGCATAGTCATTCGGTAACATCTAAAATTTATTAATAAAAAAAGAAAAAAATTGAAAATAATACAAAGAGAAAATGCTGAAACTTTTAATCCTGGTAAGAGGCTAATGAGATTTTTAAGAGAGTTGACAATCGAACTCCATCGAAATGCTTTAGAGAATGCAAAAGATTATTGTGTCTTAATTTTATGTTTGTCTACGGGAGGAGATAACAAGAGATACCTTCCAAGTCGATCCGTTCCGTGATGCCGAAGTCGTGAAGATATCCACCTTCCCTTCATATCTCTTCCCAATCTTCTCCATTTGCTTTCTTTCTTTTCTTTACAATTAGTTTCAGATAAAATTTGAAATTTATAACATGCCAACAGGGAAAGCTGTGCATTGTGCAAAAGAATTAGTATTTATCCAATAAATTTCGTTATTAGTTTCCAGCAATAGAAAAAGTATTATGCTGAGGAAAACGTGATTCTTAAATTCAACCCTTCAATTCCATAGAAGTAGTATTTATCTATTATATATGGACACATATGATGGACTGCTTAAATTTTGTTAAAAATTAATAAAATATGTGATAATAAAATATTATAATGGAGTTAATAGATTAATTTTAATGGTAGCTTTGTAATTTATAATTTAATTTAATTTATTTAAGTATTCTAAAAGGCAAATCATTAAAAATTTGGAAGAAATAAAAGGTCATCGCCAATGGCGTTACATTCTTCCCCACTATCTTTTGAGTTCCTAATGGCTCTACGATTTTTCAATTCAATGATGAATAGGAAAAATTATTACATATTATTATTTTTTTGAAAAAACAAATATATTTATATAGAAGTAATCATATTATTTAACATTATATTATAAATTATCATTAATTATACATAAATAATATTATATTTCATTTGAAGATCAACTGGTTAAAGGATGAGAACCATGTTTAATATTATAAGTTTTTGAAAAAAATTATATATATATATATATATATATAAGTAATTATATTATGTATCAATTAACATTATATTATAAATTGACATTAATTATACATAAATAATATTATATTTCTTTTGAATGTCAACTGGCTAAAGGATGAGAACCATGTCTAATATTATAAGTTGTGAAATTAACTTAATGTGTGAAAAATTAGGAATATTTAATGAGAAAATAGATGCCAAAAAATTAAAAAAAGAAATTAAGGACAAAATTGTAAACCAAATAATGGTATAGTGGGCTTATAGCTAAACATATCAGGGTAAAATTGATAATTAAAATTTTTTCCTCAATCTCTCCTTTTTATATATTGTAGATTATTTGGCATACCACATTGCAATTACATGGAAGATTGGTTGCACTTGGATGTGTACTTAGCCTTCTTTGAGCCCCATTATTTGTATGAATTTTTGGAGTATATGTGATTGAGAAGTAAGAAAAAGTTATAAATTTGCTTGTAATATTATTTTATTAAATGAATACGTGATTAAAAATGAGTTTGAAGAAAATTATTTTATTGAAAAATGGGCTCAAACAAGGTCTTAATAATTATTTTCATCAATTTAGGAGACATAAGTGTCGATCGATGGAATTCAAAATTAAATTGAAGTTTGTTAATTTGACTGAAATTAGATTGAAATTTAGTAACCCAATAAATTAAAGTTTGTGACCCAGTTGAAAATTTTATTAAGTTTGTTAATTTGACTGAAATTAGATTGAAATTTAGTAACCCAATAAATTAAAGTTAGTGACCCAGTTGAAAATTTAATAAAGTTAAAGGATTGCAGAATAAACGTGAAAAAGCCTTTAAACATGTAACAACTTGATCTCTGAGTTTAAATCTTCAATCATGCGTATTGTGCATTTTGAAAGAGTTGAGTCTTATCCTTTACAAATTCTTATCACGTCCTTCAGGATTGAACTCTAGATAATTAAGTATGATATAATGATTTGGACACATAGGTTGGGTCATTTAAATTATAAGTTGTGAATAAGTGCTAGTAGCTAAATGTCGTACT